CATTGATATTTATATACAATTTATAAAAAATGTCGTTGTCCGAAATATGTTGGCTGAGAGCTAAAGAAAAAATATGATTAATGATAGAGTTACAAGGATTGCCGTGTTCTGCTTAGGAAACCAACCATTTAATTCTCTCCAAATTTTAAAATTCATTACCAAGTTAATCAGTAGATGTCGCTACTGAAAGGCAAACTATAAAAATGTGATTTCTACTGCATGTTAAACCAAACCAACCATTTAATTCTCTCCAAATTTTAAAATTCATTACCAAGTTAATCAGTAGATGTCGCTACTGAAAGGCAAACTATAAAAATGTGATTTCTACTGCATGTTAAACCATATCAACCGAAATATTTGCGACAATATTCTTAATTTTGTCCTTAGACTGCATCACATTGTTACTGCAGATAGTAATTATAGAAAAACATTGCTGATAGGAAAACATTGTTTAATACCTTCTACTAGTTATAAGTGACATCTGTGAACAAATTTTGTACTTAACAAACTTTGTCAATTTTTGGATATCTGGTAATAGTTAAAAAGGAATAAACTTAATAACAATATTATAATTTTCTCGTTGAGTGAAAATAAGTGAATTCAGAGATCAGTATATTGGAGAAGGACATATTTATCTGTACGTAACAAAGACAGAGTGTAACGCTGTAAGAAAGCACAATTGGAAAAAACAGATAAAAAGGAACACCAGAGTTAAGGAGTAGCTTGTATATGTAGCTTTTTTGTGTTCAAATATATTGGTACAAAAAAGTACGTAAGTGCAATAGTACAATTATGCTTAAGAACTAGAAAATCATTATAATTGCATTCGAATAAGCTGATTTTGAGAAAAGTAAGATGACAGCTCTTAAACGGGATGAGAATTTTTTTTTTAAAAATTATTTTTGTTGAACAATCATTTTGATTTTTTCGCATTTTTTTTCTTTTTTATCCTTTAAAGAGGGCTGGGTTAGGTGTCGGGAATTCTTTCTTTTAAATATATCTCCACGCTTCGTTTGATAGCTGGTGAGCGGATGAATAATGTACGAATAAAAACTTTATCTAAACAGTAAAAAAGTGGCAGCAAATTTATAACGGAAAGTAGTGATGATACAGCTGACACTTTCTTTGCAAATTTTTAGAGACAAATATTTTATGGTATACATACTCAAAAAACTGACATACTTGACTTTAAAAAAAAACTCTCATGTATTGAATTTAATAATAGGAAGATAGATGAATCGTTATTTTGAGAAATAAGTTAGTTGAAATAAATAACTTAATGCTGTTAGATATTTAAGTATAGAATCCGTCGTTATTCTAAAAAACATGCTAGTTAAAGTTTAGAATGTAATGATTTTATACTTGAACGATAAACTATCATTATTCTGAAAAATAACTCTCTATAGTACAAATTTAAATTATGTTATATTCTTTAATAATAGATCCATCGCTAGTCAGTAACTAGTTTAAGTATAGAGTGTCATGATTTTATAATATAATAATCTATCAATAAATCTATCATTATTCTACAAAATAAAACACGAAGAGCAATGATTTCATGCTCTTTAATCATAGATCTATCGTTATTCCATAAAATAACTAATTAACGTAAAGTATGTAATGATTTTATGTACTTAAAAAATAAATTTATTTCATTCCTAAAAATACTTAGTTAGAGAACATAATCAGATGATTTTAATGCATACAGTGTGCAAAAAACACCCTTAATTCCTTCATCGCAAAAAAACAAAATAACTCGACTTCCAGGAAAATTTTAACGAGGCGCTTCTGTTGTATTTCTGAGTATTATATTGATTGCGATTAATTATTTTAAAAAAAATAGAAGAAACAAGTTCTAAATAAATTTGAATTTTGTTTAAATTTCAATGCTGCCGAATAACTCTTAGCGCAGAAAGTGGTAGAAAGGTATACCACTGCCGTGATGAAAGTGCTAATAACTTTTGACCTAATTATCAGATTGTCACGAACAAAGACTCAATCTTAATGGTTTGAGGGACTAATTTTTTGACTAATTATGTAGCGATAATTTCAGTTACGTGGTCTTATACAAAAAATTTATTATCTTTGCGTAAAAATACCTGTTTTTCGACGGATTCGTATTTTTGCTCCTCAAAATATATAATTAGATAAATTTCCCGCAGTCCAGAAAATAAGGTCCCAATAGTTCGATTAAGAAAGCAGTCGAAATCTTGGGATTGTTTAATGTCAATTTAACTTTTTGCTAATTTGCCATGTACTACTGCATCTGGAGTATTTTTTAAGCGAATTGAACCATTTTTGCACACAATTATAAAATTCTTTTATCCAAAGAAAACTTCACTCAAAAAAGAATATTTAATAATTTTGTTTATTATTTTATTTAATAATAGTCGAAACATTTAAATTATGAGGTATGCAAAATCATTTCATAATTTTAACGACAATAATTTTAAGTGGCAAAATACAAAAGAAGTTTGAACAAAAATGGCAGCATAGTTCCCGAGAAACTAAATTTTAAATAGATGACTTTTTTCAAATAAATCAGTCAATGAAACTTAATATTCTATGAAAAAGAATTATGAATTCCATACTAAAATGAAAATTGTTGACTAAAACAAAACTTTTGCAACTTAACTGGTCTTATGAACATCGAGCGTTGAGAAATAAAATTGCAAAAATTTGTTATAAAAGGTAGCATTTCACATGGGATAGAAAATTAATTATAATTAATTAAAAAAGTTGGTTCTCAGTCTAGTAGACTTCATACCATTGTTGTTAATAATAGAGACAATATGAATGAAATGATGTCGCTGTCCGTTATTCTGGTATCTGTACAAAATAAGGACATTGGAGACATCATTTAATTAACTAAATCCTCAAGAACGAAAAAAAATTATTCCAGAATATTTCCTTTATAATCGTTATTAACTATTCTAAACACTTGTTATACGCAAAATTACTATTAAATAACCATACATTTTGTGAGATATTCAAAATTTAAAAAATGCAATAGTTATACGTGGCATTTTTATCAAATTATTCATACTATTATGTACCAAAAAATTGCTGTGTTTTCTAGTAAAAAAGGTTTGCTTGTCAAGTAAAAGAAAATTTTAAGCAATCTTAGAACGAGACTATATTTTGATATTAAAAGAACTAAATACATTAATCAAAAATTTACTAAACTTTGTTGTAGTTATGTCTTTTGGCTCGTAAAAAAACGAAACAAAACCTAGCTCGATAAAATGATTTTGACTCGCATTAAGAAAACAAGGTGGCGCAAACTTTGTTGAGCGTGATAACATTCTCCTCTGCTTTTTTTTTTTCTTCCTCTCTTTCTCTCAACTATTATCTAGAGTATCTAGTTTACGTTATGATCCAGAAGTCTATAATACCGGAGGTCCAACTGATATTAAACCAGGTCACCGGTAACAGCGCCACCCAACGGCCTGCCAGGATTGCTGTTGAATAATCAAATTTGGTTTATTATAATGAATTTAAATATAGTAAATAATGAATTATAAATGAAGATGGTGAGTCCAAAGGAAAAAAAAATAATTTGTTTTTGAAAGAAACTACAAAAATAAGCAAAAAATTCTATAAATAAAAAAAATATGCGGTGTATTTCTCAGAAAATTTCTGAATTATTTGCCTTATACTCTGCACTCAAAAAAAAGTCAAATTTAGTCTAAGACTCAACAATCTCCAAACTGTCAATCATTATATTCGTGATTTGAAGTTCTAAAATCAACAGTTTTAGTATAAACTGAAATTTTGCTTAATATTTTTAAGTAAAGTTCTCGATAAATACAATCAAGAATAATAACTTAAAAAAATTAGAATTTTTTTTAAAAAATTTAACATATTTCAGTATTTATGTTTCAGTTTTATGCTTAGTTTTGTAGCGTTATTTAGGGCGTATATTTCCTATCAAATTCATTATTTTTTTAATGGCGATAAGAAGCTATTTCTCTACCTATGATTTGCGCGACCATCAGTTATAACTTTAAAAAATACCACAAAAAAAAACTTGCAATGTTTACCTAAATGGGGGTAACAGTAATGGTTTACGTGAGGTCAGGAAATGAGGCTAGAATGAGGGAGCTATTTTGTCATGTTATGCTTTCGTTCATATGATCATTTCTCATCGAGTTTATTTTCAGTTTTAGAAACATTATCTCAGTTATTTATAACCACATAAGTTTGGGTTTGTAACCAACTCTTTACAGTAGGTAAAATTTTGAAATCCCATCCACCTTCACTACCTAAAAATCCCTTCTAATTATCTGAAATTAATTTAATTTTAAAAATAGTCCTAAAATGCAAATCAATTTTAGGTAATGAGCTAAATGAAATTATCTTTATAAATTGATCTCAATCAAAAACATGTTTCACATTACTAGAAAAAATTTTTTTAATTCTTTTAAATTTTATATTAATTTTCAGTATATATGTTTCAGTTTTATACATGATTGCGTAGCAATGTTAAACCTTTTTAAGGCCGGGGGAAGTATATTTCCTATCAAATTCATTAATTGTTTCAATGGGAAGTTATTTTCCTTCCAATGGTTCGTGCAGTCATAACTTTAAAAAAAATGCAAAAAAAGAAAGAGTGCTTGGTTTACATAAATGTGGGTAACATTAATGATTAATGTGAGGTCAAAGAGAGTACCTTATGGAATAGGTCAAGAAAAATATTAATCTTATTAGTTTATAGCGTTTGCATTGATTTTTAGAATATTTCCTTTTTTTGGCCCATACAAAGAACAGGTACTCAACTAGCTTGCAATAAAATATTTCCTTTTTGACTACATGTGGTGATGTGCCTTTCCGTAAGAGCTAAAACTACTTAGCTCAAAGAAAAAATTTAAAAAGAAAAAGAAAAACAATGTCTCCTCGCACATCAACTATAAATTTTGTTATTTCTGCTAAAATGACTCACATCTATTATGAGACTTGATACTTAGTCGTTTTCTAGTTTGTGAATTCAAATGTTTTGAATGTATTTAACTCTTTATGAAGTAAATTCCTATTCAGATCTCTCTTTTCTTTACATAGGTATGACTGCCATAGGGACCTTAGCAGCTATAGCTATTGATCGTTATATCATCATCTCACGCACATTCTGTGGACAAAGTATGTCAGGAAAATCGTCATTTGCTACTATCACTGGTATATGGGTATATTCTTTGATACAGGCCACGCCACCGTTGTTTGGATGGAATAGATTCATTGTGGAGCATCCCGGGATAGCTTGCTCATTAGATTGGCAATCTTCTGATGTATCGCATGTCTCCTTCATAATCTACATATTCTTCCTCGGATATTTTTTACCGTTAGTCATCATAAGCTTCTGCTACATCAGAGTGATCTGGATCATCAAAACAGTGAGTAGTCTCTCATTTTACGAACAGTAATTTTAAAACCTGCTGTTGTTCTCTTTAGTGTTGCTTTTATAACCAAACTTAAAACTAATGGGTTCTTCGGAAAGTAATTTCGTTATTTTTCTTTCAATATATCATTATATTTTTCACATCTAACATAATAAAGACATTAATTGATAATTTGCAGTTTGTACCAATTAATAAAGGCATTAATTGATAAAAACTGCGGAATAACACAAATTGTGAGATTGCTAAATGATTAAATTAAACGAAAGGGACCATGATAATTTAGAAAGCCTAAAGTTTAATCTCAAAGCTCTATATATGGGTTCCTCATGTTCTTTCGAGGGGAAAATTTGTGCAGTCTGGTTGACGTCAGTGATTGGTCAAAAAACCGAAGAACTTTGCCACCAAAGAACGACTATTTTATACTTGTAAAATCACGGTACTGCCAGAAAGATGGAAAAGGTTATTGGACCAAAATGGACAATAAATGGTTAAATAACACAATTTTGTCATTATAAAAAAATCGCTTTTCATTTTCATAAAAAAAAAATTACTTTCCGAGCAACCCAATAGATCTATAAAGTTTTAGAACTTAATGAAGAGAGCCCCCCAATCATCGCCTTTAAAAATTATTTATCCAATCGTTGTTAAAAATAAAGTATAAAAACTTTGTATGTTTGAACTAAGAACTAAATATTTCAGTAAAAACAGAAGGGTTATTATACTCTGACGAATAATTATTAAGTACTATCAAAATGGACAGTAAAGGTTAGTGATGAAGTTGATCGTAAAGTCACTCCTCCTCAAGCGAGTTCTTATTAAACTTAAAGAGTTGCAAGTCGAGCCACAAATATTGTTTAATCCCTAAGGGAAATTGGAAAATACAATTTCCCTAAGCGACGGAAAAATCAATCAGATTGAAAGAGCTTGATGGGATTGAAGCATCCATTTGCTTCATATAACGGAAATTGATAAGAAATTGATAGGAAACTTATTTTTCTTACGTTAAGTGTTTTGTGTAATTAGTGAATAATTGTGTAGTGAATAAGATTACAGGAGGACAGTTTTAGAAAATCACTGCTTTGGGAAACCGGACACTAAACCTGAATACTAAATATCAAGTAATTACATCATTAAGAACAAGGCATTACCCGTTAAACCGTAGGTGACATCTGTTTTTCACGGAATTTTAATCATAAAATGTTTAATTTAAATATATTAAGGGACTGGTTTGGGTTGAAAGTAAGTAGTTCGATGCCGGATCGTTAATTTTTACTTTAAGGCCAGTTAAATTGCAAAAAAAATAAAAGATTCTTTATTTATTCCGGTTTTTTAAGTCTTCGATTGCGAAATTTTGAAAGTTTATTCTAAATTTTCAATAAACGGCTACCAAAAAAGATATAAGATCTTAGAATGGTTGGTTTATTTATATATCTAAAATAAATTACGCAATGACTGTTTTATTTAAACGAAACCGTGTACCATGTATTGTATTTAATCAAACAAGCAATATATATTTAATTAAACAAATCCGTATTTTTAAATAACATTATTTTTTTCAATTTATGTGTATATTTTCATTCAATTAGATGATATTTTATTAATAGATCGATATTTTTGAAGAACGTTGGAGTTGTGGCTAATTTTTTATCGTAAATAAAACTATTTATTTATCTTGTTATATAGTTTGGAATTTATGCAGCTATTCCAGTTTTTTTTACTTATTTCAACTAGAAAAAGAGTTTTTTAATCCAAAAATTACAATACGTGTAGAGATGCTTTTGAAAGCCACGAATACTGAACCAGTTAGTCTCAAAGCACTTCCAATCAGTAATGTGTCCACTTAAAACATTTTTTTCATCTATCTATGCTCTTCAAGTTTATATTATTTAATATTATTGTGTTTTTACACGAAAATAAACATAATTACTTTTATTTTATTATTATTTATGTTATTATTGCATATTAAATAATGTTAATCCTTTTTTTTAATTTCCTTTATTATTTCATCATATAATTTTGCTTTTCAAGTAGTCTTCCACATAGTAAAGTATAACACATTACATTAGCTGAATATCCTAATCTCGCTTTGAAATCCTAAATTGTTTATCCTAAATTTTTCAAATAGGACTGTATAAGACTATTTGTACAGTGTGCCAAAAAAAGGACTACCCCAAATAACTTTTAATTCAATGATTGGATCTTCACGTTCTGGGACTCAATCTTAATGGTTCGAGGGAGTTATCTCAAATATGCTAGTTACTTAGTACAGATTATATTTTAAGTTACGAAATCAGACATAAAAACGTACTTTCTCTGATTAAGCATATCTTTTTTTCAACGGATTGAGATTTCTGACCTCAAAATATAGGTCCAAAGTTTGGACCTCTTTAAGATTAATTTTAGTTTCTGCGTATTTTGCCATATCTTGAGAACTGTTAAAGCAAATTGAAAAATGCTTGCACACAATTATAAAATTCGCTATCCAAACAATAATTTCATGCAAAAATTAATTTTAGTAAATATTTATTATTTTCTTATTATTTCATTTAAAAATAGTCTTAAAACTTTTTAAATTGTAAGGTATGCAATTTTTTACATAATTTTAAAGCATGTAATTTCACAAAGCAAAATACAAAATTCAAGCGAAATCGGTTGAATAGTTCCTGAGAAATCGAATTTTAAGGATACGGCTTCCTTAAAATTCGATTTCTCAACTATACGACCGATTTCGCTCAAATTATGTATTTTGCTATGCATTTTGCATTTTTTATTTTCCGTACATTCTTTAAAATGATACAACAAATTTTAAACCTCACAGTTATCGACTATTATTGAATAAAATAAGAAATACTTAATAAATTTTCTTTCTGCACGAAATTATTTTTGGCTAAATGAATTTTATAATTGTATGCAAAAAATTTTCATTTTGCTTAAAACTTCCTAGAGATATAGTGAAATACGTTTAAGGCAAAATTAATTTTAAGGTGTCCAAACTTTGGATCGCTCTCCTGACCAAACTATAGGGACCATATTTCCCAGATCTATATTTTAGCTTGTCAGAAATCCGAATCCATCAAATAAAAGGAATGTTTATTCTGAGAAAGTGCGTTTTTGTGTCTGATTTCGTAACTTAAAATATTGTCAGCACTAATTAATTAGCATATTTGAGATCACGCCCTCGAACCATTAAAATTGAGTTATAGAGCGTAAAGATTCGATCATTAGATCAAAAGTTATGTAGGGTGTCCCGTTTATTTATTTTTTTCGCAAACTTTATGTGCTTAAAAACGTTATATTTAGCAAAGGGTCGCATAAATATTGGCCAAACTTCTAGGGGGATCAAGGCACATTATCAGGATTAAAAATGCGTAGGAACTTATGTCGTGAAATATCATACACTGATTAGGTAGCATTCCTATAATGTAATGTCTCTTCGTGTGCAACCATAACGCTCTAGAACTCTAGATCAAGTATTCCACAAACGCTCTATATCAAGTATTCCACGAACCGGCCTTAATAGGGAAGCGGCCCTAGCTGCTTACGACGACATTTCCGGGCATTGGTTTCTGTACATTTTTAGTCGTTTTCATGTGCCCTAACTCTCCCAGAATTTTGTCGCAACATTTAAGTGACCCCTTGTAACGTATACATTTAATAAACTAAAAAAATATATCAAAAAAGTCAATTTTAAAAAAAAAAATCTGTGGTTTATAGATTAAAACTATTTTCAGTGAAATCTCCACACCCGAGTTAGGCAATATCAAGTATTTGCATAAAGACAACAAAAAATTTGTTCCTTTGTGTTATTAATAATATTTTTAGAATATATTGAGTATTGAGTATATTGAGTATTTTCTCAGTACTGAAATATGTTAATTAAAACATGCTTTTGTATTTTCTAAAATTATTCGTTTAAAATCAATAATCGATAAACACATTAATATAAAATTTCAAACCCAGTATTTTTTTCTCTTTTTTTTTAAAAAGATTTGAAAAATTTACATTTTAACCTTTGTAAAAGTTTTGTTACTTTTATGGAACGGACCTGATAAGCGTTTGACTGCTTGTAAAATTTTTTTTAAATGATTATCTGTGTAAAAAAAGAAATTTGCTTCATTTTACTCTGGTGGAAATATATTTTGCGATAAACATGCCATCTTTCATTTTTATAAAATTCCTATAATTTTGCTTCAGTTCAGAAAATAATATTTTAATTAGTGTTTGCAATTTAAATTATTTCCTGTGCAGCATTTCCGCCTCTCCCTATTGATTTCGTTTCTTCAGCAAGAAAGTTAGTAATTTAAATAATTTGATAGCACTTTCTCTTACCATTTCAGTAATGAAATAAAAGAGCGCGAATAAGAAGTAAAATCACGTTAGATGAAAGGAAAATGCTTGAAAACTTGTTCGAAACATTACACACAACAAAGCACTCAAAACCTATCTTTTTTTTTTTTTTTTTTACAATTTGCAGTCGTTTCAGTCTATTTATACCTCTTTCAGATACTGTAATAAGAGGAGCGTTACAGTAAGTCATGACAGGTTTTATAAAAATCTTATAGGTATCAAGTAGAGTTGTGGTATACATATATATATATATATATATATATAAGTTCAAAATGAAGAATAAAACAAAGAAAAATTATAGACATATGGAAAAAAAAGGGGGGGGGAATAATAAGTAAAAAATAACAAACAACAGTTTATATAATATATATAATAATAATAAAAAAAAAAGAAAGAAAGATGAAATTTTATTTAAAAAACCGGAAAAATAAAACCGGGGAAAAAAAGATATAATCTTTTCTTCAGCCCACACGATTATATCCGCAAAACAGAGTGCTTTCTGATATTGTATCAATAAAGCCAAAGCAAAATATATTAATACAATAGTGTGAGGAGCACTCAAAA